TGGGTACAGGAGACAGACTTTGAAGCCTGTGTAGAGGAGCCTGGGCCTTCAGTTGAGCAACTTGAGTTACAACCAGCTCTCAGGAACGAAATGAGTTCGTAAGTCAAGGGTCCACTGTGTTTTGTTTTCTTCTGTAGCCTGCAGAGCCCTCAATGCACTGTTTGTCACGAATTGTCCCCAAAGAAGTACAGGGCGTGGTGTTTCCAAACTCATCCACAGGAACCCTGCTTTCTGCCTTCCCTAGGCAGCAGCTGGAGGAGCTGGGGCTCCTGTGGCACAGCGAGGGGGCATGAGTTGTAACTCCTAGGAAGAGAAATGGAAACAGGAGCATCTCAATTTCAGAGATACTGGTGGTTGGGTCTCACATGTGAGGGAGGCCGGGGTGCTGTCCCTACCTTGCCTGCTCCTCCCCATGGCCACAGTGTGACGGGGCTCAAGAACTCGGCAGCCTCCTAAGTACATGTTGAGTTTTGTGTCATCTGTTCATGTGTGGGGCGGGGTGGAACCCAGGGCCTCAGGCATGCTAGATGAATGCTGAGCCACTGAGCTGCGGCCCCCTCCCCTTGCTCCCCACTCTGAGGGGTGGCTCACTCCTACGAGGTGGCTGCACAGAAAGCAAAGGATAACACAGTGGCCAAGAGCACGGACACAGAAAGAACTGAGTTCAAGTCTTGCTTCAGTCTTCTGAGACTGCGGTGTGACTGAACTTGTATTCGACCTCTCAGAGCTTCCAGGTTCCCCTCCAGGAGCTGGGAATTACGAGACCCATCTTGTTGGCTGTAGCTGGAATCTTGCTAGTCCTATCTTGTGGCCCATGCATTCTGAAGCTCCGGCTTTTCTAATGAAGTTCAGAGAGGTTTAGTGACTTGTGCAAGCGCACACAGCTAGGGGTGGTGGGACTGGGAGACCAGTCAGCACTTTGCTCTCTCCTTTCCCTCCCATCTCTGTCTCCATGCTCTTTCTCCTCCGTCCCCACCCACTGCCCAGGTTCAGGATTGAGTCACCTCCATGATGACTATCAACACCGAATCCAGGCTCTGAACCCTGCTTCTCCCCTTCCACGACTGACAGCATGGTCTTTCTGTTTTCCTTTTTCTTTTCTTTTTTGGGGGTGGTGGTGGTGGTGGTTAAGATAGGGTCTCACTATGCAGGTCAGGCTGGCCTTGAACTCACTATGCAACAGAGGCTGGTCTTGAACTTGCAGCGATCCTCCTGCCTCAGCCTCCTACTTGCTGGGATTACAAGCATGTGCCTGGCAAACATGGTCTTTCTTCTCAGGTATTCACTCATTTAACCTAAATGCAACCTTACCAAATGTATTGTATTGTTTGCATTTAAGAATACAAAAGCCCCCAGGGCCGGAGATTTAGCTCAGTGGCACCATGCCTAACTTGCACGTGCAAGTGCAAGGTCCTGAGTTCAATCCCTGGTACAAACAAAAAGAAAGAAAAAAGAATACCAAGGCCGCCAGAAATCTGGAAGTGAAGACTCCTGGTCAGTGGCAGAGCAGGGGTGCTGAGCAGATTACCCGGCTGAGGTGGTTTCCTGAGGCTGCAGGAGGGAGGACCACAGGCACAGATGCTCCCGTGACTCTGAAAGCTGGATGTCCAAGATTAGGACAGGATTCCTCTGAGACTTTATGTGGAACCTACTCCACGCTTCTGGTTGCAGCTCGAGATTGGTGATGTCCGTTAGCTTGCAGATCTGCCTCTGCAGTCACATCGCCACTGTTTCATTTGGGCTTCTCGAGAGGAACAGATTTAAGGTAATAATATAACATGATGTGTGTTCTGATGTCCCAAAGACTCAACAGGCTTACAATGGCTGACTTCAGAATCAGGGGTGAAAGAATGCAAAATCGCAGTCTGTACCCTGGAGAGCAGGAGGAGCCAGTGGAAGGCTGAAGAGCCTGTGTGGGGAGCCTGCAGGAACTGGAGATGACCTCCTAAGGCAATGTGAAGACCACAACTCCTCTCAAGATGCAAAGGGAGTTTCCATTTTCTTTCTCTTTTTATTCGGTCCATGCTACAAGCCTACTGGAAGGTGCCACCCACATCCGGGGCGGGTCTTCCCTCCTCTGTTTGCAGCCTAAATGTCAATCATCTGCGTTCTACCAATCTGCTAAGCATTCCTTAATCTATTCAAGTTGATGTCACCCCTCGCTGTCCTAGCCACCTTCTACCCAGTAAGGGGGTCATCACACGCGTTCTCTCAAGTGTCACTGACCTTCTTCTTGGAAGGACCACACTGGTCTTCTTGGAAGGTCCTTCACTGGATGAAGCACCCACTCCCCATTTGATCTTAATGACACCCTTTTCATCTATTTCTGAGTGAGGTGACAGTCTGAGGTTCTGGGGTTAGGACTTCAGCTTATCACTTAGGGGACATATTCCAAGCCATAACCATGTTCTTTAGCCATCACCTCATTGTTAGTGGGCTTCCTGCTATTTCCCAGCTTTCTCTGTTACACGTGCAAAGCCATGTCCAGGAGTGTGTGGCTGTAGGACAGGTTCCCAGCAGGGACTTCCTGTCCCGAGTGTATGCCTGAACCTGAGTTCCGCTCTTCAAAACTGCCGCCCTCTTCCTCCACCCTCCTACCATGTCTGAAAACAGATTTTGGCCTTTGCATACTCAGTAGATAAAATTACAGCCTCACACTTTTAAGTGTATTTCTGTTCTCAAGTGTGCAGGTGGGCCTCTTTAAACATGTTTAAAGCCCATTTTTATTTTCTTTACTGTGAACTAATTGTTCACCTCTTTTGTTCAGTTTTTCCATTCAGAATTCAGTCTGAATGGGCTTGCAGGAGCTCTCTGGAAATATCCTTTCTCTTTGACGTGAGTGGTACATTCCCCTCCTGCCCCTTTCGTAATTTCTTTGGAAGTTATTCTTGTTTTTAAAAACTTTTTCCCATGCACACATTTTTCTTTCTATGGCTATGACATTTATCAGTTTTTTCCTGTTTCTACATTAGGTGTCATGGAGCCTTGCCAGAGCATCTCTCTGATTATGCCACTGTGCTGCTAAGGTCCCCGAGAGGCTCTTCCCTGCCCTTAGCATAACACACACTCACCTTGAAATAGCCCAGAGACGCCTACCTCAGACCCCACGCTGCCCTGCACAGGCCCTGCCCAGTGAGTTCTTTGTAGCACAATCTCGTGATCTTTAGCTCACTTGTGCTTTCTGCCTGCCCATCTCCCGGCTCCACTTTCAGGAGGCAGCCTGGGGTTGGGCAGGCATTGAACAGCCCCAGCTGCTGAGCCCTGGGATCCAAGGACACGGATTTCCAGCCAGTGGCAGCCTGATGGGACCCTGAACATGGCTGGAGATTCACATGGCCACTTCCTCCCCCGCATGGTGCAGCCTGCATCTTAGGATTTACTGGAATGGCATCATCGTGGCTTTAAATACTCAGTAATTTAGGGCTGCATGCTGGATTTTGTGGGACCATTGTTTGCTTATATGAAAAAGAAGGAAATAGCCCCAGTAGGATGTGAGGCATTTTCCTCAACCTTTTTCACAAGTGAGACCACCCAAGTTGATCAAATGCTCCTAGAAGAGACCAGTCACCTTTGACAATCTTGTACAATTTCATGGAATACTTCCCGGGGCGCCTGACACCTTCCACCTTCAGCCTTTTGGCAGAGTGGCTTTTCTGACTCCTACACCTACTCACCTGCATCCTCCTCCTCCACTTAACCTGGAGACTCAGGTGTGGGAACAACCAACTCAGCACCCAAGAAGGCCACAGCAGCCCAGCTTCCTGGAGGGAGCCATGTCAGAAGATGGAGAGGCCACGGCCCTGGAGCAGGAGAGGGGGGCAGCAGGGTCCAGGGCAGCATGGCCCAGACTTGTAGGAGAGTCTCCTCGTCGCCAGTCGGCTACCGGGACACTTTGGGAGTCGGTTCTGGGCTGGAACCCATGCAGCTTCTGGCCTGGCCTGTGTCTGCTGTCCTTCTGCCTCCCATTTCATCTGTCTGGCTCTCTATAATGCACTCCAACAAGGATGCAGCCGAAACCTGAGTAAGAAAGAGTGTGAACGTGGATCAGTCCCTCCCTGTGCAGAGACCGTGGGCAGGCAGTGATGGTAACAGGTTGGGCTGAGCCTTCCGCCCCAAATATCTGTCCGGGTTTCTGTGAATGGGATCCTCTTTGGGAAAAGGGCCTTTTCTGGTGTGGTTGAATTAAAAACATTGAGATAGGATCATACTGGGCTACTGGAGTGGCTCCCAAGTCCAGTGACAAGAGTCCATACCAGACGTAGATGAGAAGGCTGGCACAGATGAGGTCATGTGACTGCACAGGCAGGACAGGGATGGGATGGTGCAGCCACAAGCCATGGCCTGCCCAAAGCCACCAGAGGTTGGCAGAGACAAGGAGGCACCCCCTAGGCACTTTCAGAGGAAGTGTGGCCCTGCTGGCACCTCGACTTTGAACTCTGGCCTCCAGAGCTGGGAGAGCAGATGTCTGTTTGAAGATACTGGGCATGTGCTCGTGTGCCACCCTGAGGACTAAAGTTTTACTCTTGTATCTGCTACCCCCAAATCCACTATTCCGCATTGGAAAAGTCACTGCCTTACTGCCACGTGAGGGTTCCCCTGCTCTCCAGCATGGGGCAGTGATGGTGCTTCCAGCCCAGCCTAGCACCCTCCTGAGCAGCAGGCAGCCCTGGCTCTGTTTCCTCCTCTCCCTTCCCGCACAGTTATTCCCACCACAGTTGACCTGCATAAACCTATCATCAAAGAATCACCAGGAAACAATGGTGTAATTTCAGTGAAACCAATACTTCCTCAGATGCTAGGGACTGTGGAGGGAAAACCTGCCACCCACCCCAAAATGCAGTAAAGCACAATCTGCTGTAGACTTGGAGGCAGAAGAGGCATCGCAGGAACACTCTCAGGGCAGAGAAGACCCCTGAGGACGCGTGGGTAGGGCCCTTTACACAGCGGTCTCAGCCTCAGAAGCACTACATTGGGGTCACCTGGGCAGGCTTCTTTAAATGCTAATTTTTAGAAGTCAGAAATCCTGGAGGATTTCTGTCAGGCATGTATTTTTAAAGTTGCACCCAAAATTTTTCAATTAGCAATAATCGCACCTCGGATAAACCTCATAGGCTACGATACTGCCACCTCGCAAAGCTTGCACCCAAAAATTTTAACACAAAGGCAAGACCACTGATAAAAAGAGGTTTTTAAAATATGGTCCTTGAATGTCACCAGGGAGCTGGGTAGCAAGGCATCGGTAATATCCTCAGGCCCTGTTCAAATTTCCCCAGGACAGAAATGCAGGGGTGGCTGAAAGAGCTCCCTGGGGGGCCTCTGTGTCATCTCACGTGAGACCCACATGAGGTGTGGTCAAAAGATATGGTGAAAGTTTAAGTTTAAAAAATGATTACAGTGAAAACCGTATTGCCATTACTGTGATCTGCAAAATCCTCCCCTCACTTCAGACACACTTAGCCCACAGTTCTTGCCACTTTCGGAAACAGTTCTAGAAGTCTTGTTTCATGATTTTTTTTTTTAGCAGATTTTTTTTTTTTTTGGGTATTGGGGTTGAACTTGGGACCTTACACTTTCGAAGCAGGTGGTGGAACCACTGAGCTAAATCCCCGGCCCATGAATTTTTTTTTTTTTTTTAAATCTGCCTCAGTATCCTGAATTGATTCAAAACACTTATAGAAACTTCTGTCAAATTTTAAAAATTATATTATGGTCCTTAGCCACCCTTATTCATCAGATCTGGCACCTGTGAGATTTCCAGCTCTTCTCCAAAGTCCAAATGACCATTACAGGTAACTGTTTGGAATCTATTCAGGACATCAGGGTAGCCATGACAGTGTAACTAAAGACACCCTCCCCTACGTATGTCCACTGAGGCCAGGGTGTGGCTGTCCCTTCAAGGGGTGACCGGCACCCTGATCCTTGGCACAGTTGCCCGCGCTGCCCCAGCTCTCTCGCCTGGTTCTTCTGGTCTCAGAGAAGGGAAGGGTGATGCTCAGGAGCCCTCAGGCCAGGGGTCTCATCGGGTGTGGGGGAGGCGGGGAATGACGTGTGTGTGCTCAGGTTGGGGGTGCAGGGAGGGGGTCTCAGCACAGAAAGGTGGAGCTGGGGAGAATCTCCATGGGGTTCAAATGGAAAGTTCAGCAGCGGTGGCAACCCACTGGCTATTGTGCTCCCAGAGATAACTGAAAGTTGGGTTTAATCACAGCTTCATTAAAAAACGCCCTACACTTCTCTTTTGCAGGGCAGTTGTCCTAAGCAGACAGGCTCCAGCTCACCCACAGATTAGAAATACTTTTGCGGTAAAGGAAATCTTGTTCCCTTTAATTTAATGTCTTTCGGAGTGTTATGAATGACTCCACATTTTGAAGCCCTTTGAGCTCCTCTGTTAACTGGGACTTTAGCAGAACCATGGCTTTGATGTCTCCTGGGCAGATTGTCCTCTCTGTTCACGGGGAGGGACTGCTACTCCTTACCTCGTTAGCATGCGGAAGCATGGGTCTCATTTACTGAGACGTAATAAATGTCTAGTGGACTGTTGTGACCCCTCTTTTTAAGGTCGCACATGTGTTTATTCTGGGAAATACACAAGGAATTCTGACTCTTGCGAGCAGATTTGGAAGTTATGTCAGAGAAAAGTACAGTGACAGAGCCGTGAGGCGGACCCGGGCCCAGCCCTCTCCCACAAGGGGCGGTGTCTGGTTCTGGTCCTGGCCCCGTCCTGGACTTGCTCTATGATGTGTCACGGTTTGAGTCTCCTGTCTCTGAAATAAAGGCACTGCTCTGGGCCGGCATTTGCTAATGTTTACTTGATGCTACCTTGGTGTATGAGTTATTTTCAGCTCAGGGATAGTATTTAAAAATTGTAATGATTACACAGTTAATTTAATATTGAGGTAAACAACATATGTGGCATATCAAATCTATGGTTTTGTAGGGATTCCTGGATAATTTTGATTTCTCTTTAAATTAAATTAATGAAAAGTTTTAGAAGGAGCCAATTTAAAGGAAAAGAGTTTAAAAAATACAAAGTTCTTTCTGGATGGTGCAAAGTTGCGAAAGTTTAAAGGATGAGGCAAACATCAAAAATTAAAACAGTGAAAATTTTTAGAGAAAGTTCAAGAAAAATAGGGTGCAAAAATTGTAAAAGTGCAAAGGTTCCTGGCTGAAAGTGGACCAGTAGCTGCTTGGATCCTCTGGAAGGAAATGAATCCAGACTGGACCATTTATACCACTGTGATTCCGCATGGCTATTTTAACACAGCATCTTCAGATTACTGGGTTCTCGGGGTGCTGATTTTCTTGGTTACCCTCCCGGTGACTTCATCTGAGCCTATGGCTTGCAACTTTTGGTCACAACCTCGTGTCTCCTAGGAGCTGCTTCCGTGGGGCTCCTGCACACTTTGGCTACGAAGTTGTTGCTGCAGATTGATCTTTGCCCTTGCTCTGCCCTAGGTTTTATGTTAACACATTTGAGTAGGATTTCAATGCCTTGTGAGGAACCAAAACTATTTGGCACAGGCTAATGATTCCTAGAAAGCAGATGATGATGATGATGATTTTGGCTCCTGCTAGGGCCATGGACACATGGGCATACTCCCTTGTCATTTTTCTGCTAGTGACTTTATGCAAGGGCCTCATCTCCTCCCTCTTTACACGGATCTGAGCATCCTGCTCTGGGATGAGGACAGACAGGAAGGGCTACAGCTGATGCGTTTCAAGTGTTGTGGGAGGCCAGGAGCCACTAGAGTTCACTCCTTCGCTCCTCACCTACACGCACCAGGCACCAGCACATATCCCGGCTCTCCGGTGGGCACTGGGGTACATCTTGCAGGGCTCACCTTCTGAGAGGGTCAGGATTCAAATTCCAGCTCTACCACTTGCTGTTCATCTTGGGCAAATGATTAATCTCTCTGAGCCACGCTCCCGCCAGCCTTCGCTCTAACAAGAGGCGACGCAGAGTATCGGATGTAGAGAGGTTGATGGCTTTCCTGGACGGGCATTTGAAGGTTCTCTCTTCTGACTGGTTCATATTTGTTTGTTGTAGTAAAATAAAATAAATGCGAGTGGGGAGCGAGCCAGGTAGAGGGGAGGCTCAGGCTGGTCCTCCAGGAGAGGAGGGATTAGGGAAGCTGGAAGGATGGCCGGGGAGCCCCAAGACTCTGCCTAAGGCTTGGGGTCCCGGAGAGCTCAACCAGCTTGGTTTTGTGCCTCTGCCCAGCCACGCCCTACTGCATGTGTGCCAGTGTGGGGCAGGCAGTTGTATTTAGCGCGACTTTAATTTGCATTATCTCTTCCATCCTCCTGACACGACTTAGAAGCTTTCTGTACTCATTCCACAGACGAGTAAACTGAGGCCTCTGGAGGTCAGAGGACATCCAGGACCGTGGCTAGGAAGCCAGACGGGTTCCAAAGCTCACACTTAATCCTTCCAGGACGCTCTCACAGCTGCTGCACCGCCCTTTAGGGAACTCTAAGTATTTCTGATTGTTTAACCAGCTGGAAAGTGCTACGTGGTATCCAAAGCAGGCTGTCGCAGTCTAGCTCAGATTCCGCCACCGTTTTCACAGTAGCTTCAGCCACGGTAATCCCTCCTCGGGCCCTTCATCCTCTCCTTTCAATAAGGTTAATCTGGAGCCCCCTCTTGTTCCTCCCTGCTCTTAAATAACAGGGGTCCCCCCCTCTGCCTTAGAAAGGGGTGCGAGGGAAGGGACTGCAGCTGCACCAGGAGCTCCTTGGAGGACCTGAACACACCTGGGTGCTGAGTCTTTCCCACTGCAATCTCCAAACTCTGGAGCCGATGGACAGGCAAGATCACGGAAAGTGGACATCAAGGTGCACTGGACAGAACAGTGGGGCGGGAGCTCGCGAGCGTGACATACAAGGGCATGGTTTTGTCACCGAGCTGCCCGTGTAATTGCAATAGGGCTCTTATGTTATTAAACAGACCCCCGGGCAAACAAAAGGGATACTGTTTCTTTCATGAGTAATGTGCTAACTCACCCCTGGAAAGAAAAAAAAGTTCAAGTCCAATGTGGAGACTGAGACAGCGTAAGATTTATTACAGAGGCTACAGAAATGATTCCTCTTTCACAGCACTTAAATTGTCTAATTATTTGCAGCTGTTTCCAATTTGGCTCTGGCCGTTAATGAAGGGCGTGCGTCTTGCCTCTCAGCAGTACAGAGCACACAGAGGAGTTGGACAAGAGCGCGTCCAGGCGTGCTGCGGGAATCCTGCACCCAGCTACCTGTCTGCCTTCATCACCTGTCCCTGAGATGGAAGGGCAGCTTGGGAGACACGGACCACCTTCCCATGACCGAGGGGCGCTGGCTAGAGCACCTGCAGGTGGAGGGGCCACAGCCTTGACCTCCTCCAGTAACCTGGGGCATCTCTGGTCCCCTTGGGTCTCCTGAGAAGCCACAGCCAGGGCATCCCTGTTGAGGTGGGGTGAGACGGTGGGCGTCTCCATCCATCCTCGTCTAAGCCTGACACACAGAAGCGGCAGGGGAACCCCAGCCAGTCTGCACACCTCCAGTCTCTATTCCCTTCCGGACCCCTCCCCTGAATCCCCGGCCCCTGTGTCTCCTTGCCTGGGACATCTCTTCTGCTTGGATTCTGAGCCAGGTGACCATAGTCTCCATTTGCTCAACAAACATGGAATGGACACTGAGTCAAGGCAGAGGGTTTAGAAATGAATGAGATGTATTTTATAGCCCTCTAGATTGCAAGCTGTGAGGTCAGTATATTAATAACCTTTAACTTCTCCCTGATATTTAGCAGAGGTGCTGGAATGCAGTACATGTGCAATAAACCCAAGCTAAATAAATCAGTCAGGATGTTCTGGCTGGAAGGGACCTTGGCAACGAGTGCCTATCTCTTTGATTAAAAAAACTTTAGACTTTTTCCCTCTGAAATAAACATGATATTTTTATATAAGTTATTAACAGTCATTTGTCTTTTTTAGTCTTTTGTTAAATGATGTCATACATATTCTTAAATATGACTGTTTTAGTATATTTGCCTGTTTATAACTTGTTTTTAATCTAAAAAACTTCGTATTATTGCAGATTATTCACACCAGAGAGACTATTCGGTATTTACACGTGTGCCTTATTTATTTCACTTAGGAGTATATTTAGA